AGCAAGGCCATGCTTCAGGCTCCCGAGCCCCTCAGCATCTTTCCCAGCAGTGTGAGTTCCTCAAGCCCAGCTCTCAGCCCTGGCCTGTCCAAGTAAGAGTCATCCCAGCTCACAGTGACAAAAGGAGAGAGTGGGTACAGACCCCAGATCTGAGTTGTGTTTTAACAAGATGGGAAAACTGTGCCCAAGGGAAGAAAGGTCCTTAAGACACAACTGGTGGATCTATACTGCAGCCATACTTGGCTGGCCACAGCTGCTTGTGCTGAAATTTGAGACAACCATCAGGCAATCCTGAAGGATCTCCCATCACGTGGTGCCTGTACAGATGAGTGGATGGTCATACTTCCCTTTTTCCTAGTTTTGAACTATTTGCCCAGGATAATCCTGACCTGATAGTCTGAACCTTAAATGTAGATCCAAACCACAAATGAACATAATTTGACTTTTCATAAAAGCAAAGACCTGACAATAGAGAAAACTCAAATTCCTGCCCAGGCGCAGTGGAGCAGATGATGTGGCACTCACCACTTTGAAGGCCCAAGCTGGGACAGCAGATGCTCCAGTTTCCTTTAAGTACTTTTCCCAGGTGAAGTTGTCAGGATCAGGATAATCTAGAAGGGGAAAGTTGTAGGTGAGATATGCCTGCAGGAAGATGGCAAGTACCCCAAAATGTGCCACTGCCTTGAAAGATCAACCAAGTCTGTGCTAAGCACATGGAAACCTGAGCGACATCAAGAAGTACTACTATATTCTCATGGATGATGGAAGCCAGGGTACAAGAAGAAACATCTGGGCCTGCACAGATAGCTTGGGTCTTTCTTGTGTCTCCACTCAGCCTGACACAAACCACCACGCTGCACCTGAACAGGTGTAAAGAAGCCTTGGCAGGAGCATGCCACGTCCCTGGCTGTGGCCTGACTGAAGGAAACTTCCTGGGTCTGCAGATAAGCATGGGCCATGGGGTTTGTGCCTGCAGGTTCCCCATGCCACCCTGGGAAGCCTGTCCCTGAGGGGATGCACCAGCGAAGGCCGCACTCCCAGGCCACTGACTCACCTTGAGGAGGTGTGAGGGGTTTGCCGTGCTCCTGACACCATCCAACTGGGTGGATGTATGGACTACTGGGGTCACACCTAGAAAACACACCCAAACTCTTACACAGGATTCAGATACCTGGCTCATTACTGCTAGACAGTGCAGGCTGCAGGGCCCTAGGACAGGCCTGCACCACCACCAGCAAAAGCCCCTGCAGAAGCCAAGGAGTAGCCAGGGACAGAAATCACTGCAGTCCCACAGCTCCTCGGGGCGAGAAGTAAGTGGTCAGAGACCTCCAACCACAAAGGAGAGTTGCTCTCATGACCTTCATTATGCTAATTGGCAATTTTAATTGGCCTTAACCAGCCTCAACTGGAGCACGCTCCCCACTCCAGCCACAATCCCCTGCCTGCAGACACAGGAGCTCTTTCGAAGATCAGGCCTTCAGTATCTGCATTGCAGGTCCATCTCCTGAGCAGGTTTCAGGGCGAGCCCACAGCATGCAATCATGTCAGTCTTTGCTCCACATTAACTACAGGGCCGTGGCAATGTCCCAGGATTTGACATGGAACAGGTAAAAGATTTGTCTCCCAGCACAGGGGAGTGACCTTCTGCTTCATTGGACTACTGGTGGCCTGTCAGCAGCAGTGTGCTGAGACAGTCTCATGCTTTCCCAACCATACTCCTGCTGAGGCAGCAGCAGGGGGTCTCCCCAGCACTGGAACCCCAGCAGTCTCTGTGCACTTACCAGTAGTCATAAGTATCATCCCAGTTGTCAAAGTGAACCAAAAAACGATTGTCCACCACGTCCGTCACTGTGGCAACACATATCAGGGAAGGGTTCATACGATCCACAGCTTCAAGCTTCATGCCCACTTCAAAGCCTGGAGAAGCCTCGTGCTGGAAGGAGAGAGAGGCAGGTTTCTTTCAGTCACAGTCCCAGTGCTCTCCTCACAGCTTCCACTGCCTGCTGCAAGGAGGCATTTGCCCAAACCCTCCCAAAACCAGACCCTCCCTGGCCTCCAGGCAGGCTCAGGATCACGTGGGATCCCAGAAGGACAGTGCCCAGCTGTGCATACAAGAAAAGAGGCAGAGGGTGATTCAGCTTGGCCACAAAGAGAAAGGGGAAAAGAAATCTTCAGGCCTTTGGGATCTTCTATAAGCAGTAACCTCGAAGATTAAAAACAGCCTCTGACTTGCACTGATTCAGATTTTGTCACAAAACACTTGCTTGTGGTCACATTCCTCTCCTCCACTGTTGCAGCAATGAATGCCCTAGGCTTGGCAGGAAGGAGCTGGGATGGGGTCCTTCATCCTACCATGCCTTTATTTCTTAAATCTGTGCAAAATGCTGCATCACACACACTACTGGGATTGTTGCAGCAAAGAACAGGAGGGTTTAGACACCATAAATAACTTGGAGAGGTTGATTTATCAGTAGGTTGAGTTTCCTCTGCAGCTGACAAAGAAACCATCAGCATTTTCCACTCTGCTTTATTCCCACTTTCCTCACCCAAGCTGCCATATGAAAAATAAAGGCAGAAACATTTTTATATTTCTACAGTGAAGACACAAAATAGAGACAAAATAATTATACCTATGAAATATTAACTGAGGGTTTTTAGCAAAATAATTGTTGGGAGCAGCTGTTACTTCTCATCAGTGCTTTACAACAGATTTAACTGTCCATGAGACTGAGCTGGATGAAACAGTGAATCAGACCGATGCCAACTTTGGGCACATCAAAGTAATGTCCAAGCTAGGGATCCTCAGCAGCAAAACATGCCACATTCATTCAGCAATGCCAGCAGTGCACTCAGGCTTGAGAAGTGTCAAGTGGACAGAGAAAAGCCCAGCACTGGTGGAGGCATTCTGCTCAGCTGGAGGGGCAGAAGTCACATCTGAACCTGCAGGCTCTTGTAGGAAGGAGAAACTGCTACTTACAGTGTTTCGGACCATGAAGAGATGCTTAGGAGCTGCCTGAGCCTTTGTTATCTTCAGGTAGTTTGTCCAGCTGAATTCTTCTTCCTTATAACCTACAACCCCTCAGGAAGAGAAATGAGAGCAGTGAGTTCACAGACAGCAGCCAAGAGGTCATGAGGCTGAGCCCGGTCATCTCTGACCAGACCTCACCCTGCCAAGAGTGTCCTGCTGTGGGTGGACAGGGTCTACAACAGCTGTGGGAATGCCAAAGCCTGTAGCTTCAGCCCAATGGCTGATTTTGAAGGGGTGCCAGGAAACAGCAGCAGCAGAGTAGAAATCCAGAATTCACCTCCTCCCCAGAAAGGATCAGTTCCACCTGCTCTGGGGCACAGGTGCTGGCTCCAGCCTGGCACAGGGACATCCAGGGTGACCAGGCTTTGCCCCAGACTGGGAGCAAGCAGAGATCTTCAGCATGACGGGAGCCTGAAAGGTTGTCCTGTGGAACCTCCTTAGCACAGCAGCATCCCTTCTTGGACACCATGGAGCCACTACTCATCCTCCAACAGAACCCACCAACTGGGACTTGCTAACTCCTTACCTTTCGGGGGCTGGAGTTTGTGCCCTGTCTCCTCAAACCAGCCAGCGGGGTGGATGTCAGGGGAGTCAGCATTCAGCCAGAAATCGTGGCACTCGGAATAGCCATCAAAGTGGAGGCGCATCCGGTAACCACACACCTACCAGCAGAGAGGGCAAGAAAAGGAAAGGGCCATGGAAACCTCCTGCTGGCCCTGGCTGAGCCCTGCATGGACCTCCCATCCTGCACAGAACCTCAGCAAGTGACTCAGGGAAGCCAAGAGTCAATGATAGGCCAGTACCCAAACTGGGAGGCACATGCTAGTTCCAAAAGGAGTCTAACATGGAGCAAGGTAAGTGCAAAGCCACAACCAGCCAGACCTAAGAAAGGAGGTTCAGGATAGTGCATGGGTTGCCATGGTGGGGCACTTTGCTTAGGTCCAGCAAGTTCAAGGATTCTCTTGTCTGCACCCAGAGATGCTGACACAAGGGATTTTGGCTAAATGCCACGCTGTGTTGGTGAAATCTCTCCGGCAGCAGCAACAGCAGCCACTGTTGTGTGGAGGATCTCTCTAGCTGCCTGGGGAGCTCTGCAAGGCAGGGCTGGTTAAGCTGCAACACAGCTGAGCAGAGAGTCCCACAAACAGTGGGCCTCCCCAGACATAAGCAAGAGCAATGAGATGCCTCCACATCCTCCATCTCAAGGGCTCAGACCTGTCTGAGAGACATCATCTCATAGATAAGAAACTACTGGCATCACCACGGTGTCTCCCTCCATGGTCCTGCTAGGTCAGGGTGATTAAGAGACCAACTAGGCTGGGGCATGACAGTTGCTCCACAGTACTGTCTCCTGCCCCTGCAAACCGGAAAGAAACTCCTCATTTGCTTGACTAAGGTGCTGAAGCTCCAGCTCATCTCACGCAGTGACATGGGCCCAGTAGGGCCAGCTGGGAGGACCTCCCATCCCAGAGAGCCTCCCTGCGTGAAACTTGCGAACCTCACCTCAGCCACCGTCAGAATGAAGTACATAGATGGGTGCTGTGGATCAATTCCTTCCAGCTTCATCCCCACTTTAAAGCCATTCTTGCGCTGGGAAGCTACTTGGTACTGGAAGGAAAAATTAAACCACAATGTAAAAAACGACACAGGTAGCTGGGTCTAGAGCCATCTCAAAGAGCATAAGGCAATGGGAGCTGCTGGGACCAGAAGATTGTGGGCCAGAGGTTACTTCCTCATCCAAATTTAATTATTTTCCTCTAGAAAAGCATTGTTCCACCTCTTTCTGGGTCTGCATCTCCTGCTACCAGCAGAGCAAGGTGATCCTGGGCTAAGAGTAGGACACAGGCCTGGCTCCTCTGGCACCCTGGCAATCAGACGCCTGGGAGCAGGGGTGCAGTGCAGCAACATGGCCTCAGGATAACTCACACTTGGCTTTGAGGAAGGGCTGGAAAGGCTCCACCACCCTGCCAGAGCCACAGGGGTGTCCTAGACAAATGTGGGGTGCTGGGGATGGGGAACAGCACCCTGCTGGGGAATGGGACTCAAAGCAAATTACAACTGGAGGCTGACTGGTCACCTACCAGGTGAAGATGGGAGCTTGCTTATTACTAAGAGTCCCACAAAACAGGGAAGCAAGGAAGAGAGGAAAGGGAGGAGGGGTGGGAAAAAAAAAAAAAAAAAAAAAGGAAAAGAGAAGATCAAAGAGGGAAAAAGAAAGGAAAATCCCAACTCACATCCTGGAAGAGATCTAAAGGGGCAGCGACAGCTTTCTGCTCCTCCAAGTAGGGCGCCCAAGACCAGCCTTCTTTCTTCTCACTGGCACCTGAGTGCAGCACAAATGCACACACAAGAGGCGCTGCTGAGGATCCGCCCCAGCCCATCCCTGCCTCGGGGCAGTGCGGAGGGCAGGGAGCTCATGGGTCCCCCAGAAACCACATCCCTCTCCCACACACAGTCCTGCATCTCTGCAAAGCTCAGCACCATCCTACCATAGCCTCTTCTCCAGCAAAGCTGGCCAGCTGTATGAGGGACAGAGACAAGAGGCCTGCCCTCACACAGGTCCCTGGAACCCAAATGTTCTGTCTCTGTACAATGCTCTGGTGAGGCACCCGAGGGAACAGCCACCCTGTGCAAAGAATCAGCACACCTCTGCAACCAGGCCTCCTCCAGCCCATACATATGAAATAGTCACAGCACTGACGGATTTGGGACAACCAGGAGGATCCATCTAGAGGTCTAGTAATCACACAAAGGGCTCCCAGCCAGTCAAACCAGCACTAAGCTAAACCTCCCACCACCACTCCAGAGGTACCAGCTCTGCTATCCTCAGCTCTGAGACAACCACCTGAGCCCCCCTTAGCACATCCAGGGCCACCTTGATGCCCTAAAGATGCCTTTACCCTTAAGGTATTCACAAAAAGAAGACAGCATTGAGTCTTCATGGGCAGGGAGGTGATCTTTCATGCTTTCAATCCCTTTGGGAAGGCCACAAAGGTCTTCCCTGAGGCACATGAGACACAAGCCAAGTCTTTTGCTCTCCATCCACTTTCTTTACCTGCTTCATAGCACCTGAAGGGCCTTCAGTAGTACTGTGCCTATTCCAGCACTGAGTAACCCACAGCTACAGGTCAGCCATAACAGACAGTCTTGGGTAGGGCAGGCCAGGAATGCAGGGGATAAACAGACCAACTCCTTCCTCTCTTGGGCTTAGGGAAGTGGAGATGGAGAAAAGAGAGAACAAGACTCATAAGGAGAGACTGAGGGAACTGGGATTGTTTAGCTTGGAGGAGGCTGAGGGGAGTCCTTGTACCCTCTACAATTCCCTGGAAGGAGGTTGTAGGGAGGTGGGTGTTGGGCTCTTCTCCTAAGTGAATATTGACAGGACCAGAGGAAATGGCCTGAAGTTGCTCCAGGGGAGGTTTAGACTGGATATTAGGAAGAATTTCTATCCTTAAAGAGTGGCCAGGCACTGGAAAAGCTGCCCAGGGAGGTGGTGGAATCACCACCCCTGGTGCGATTCAAGAAACATGTAGATATGGCACTTCAGGGCATGCTCTAGTGAGCATGGTAGGTTTTTCAGGGTGTCTGCTGTTTGTTTTGGGGTGTGTGTGGTTATGGCTTTGTGGTTTGTCCTTTTTTTCTTTCTTCTTCTCCCTTGGGTGGATGGTCCGACACGGTGACCCTAGAGGTCTTTTCCAACTAACCATGCCAATCCTGTAATTTTGTGAAAATAGGAACTTGTGGAAGAAATTAAAGCTGAGCTTCAGTGAGCAAGGTTACTAGCCTAGATGCTTCACTACTACTTAAGAGTGATAAAAACCTTTATTAATCTTTAGGACACAGAAAAAAGTGGCAGGCAAGTCTGGGGAAACCATAAGTAAACCCTGCACTTCCACAGAATGGGAAATACACCTGGACATACAACATGCACCACCTTTGCACTGAAGCATCAAACTGTGTATTTTTTTTGCTGAGGAACTTTTAAAATAACAGAAAATAAAATGCTGAAATAATAAGGCCCAGCACTTCTTACTTGTATGCAGCAGGGAGGGTTACATGCTCAGGGTTCAGACTGTAGAGAAAAGGACTTGGCAAGAAAATATGAGATTCACTTTTTAATAATGGTTAACTCAGTGAAACTTCAGGGGTTAACAATATCTGGGCCCTGCTACTGTTTGAAATACTGAAATGTTTATTTTCAGTATTTTCCCAGGTTTTCCTTCCCCCTCAATCCCACTGAACTGCAAGGAAAAAAAACAAATAAGAAAACACTGCATCCCTCAGCTTGTCTTCTTTCCCTCTGTGTCAACAGCTCTGTGTTTGAGATTTCTTCTGGTATGGTTCAGGAATAGATCCCCACAAGATGAGACAACCCCAAATCATCCAGCTTCAGCAGCACCAGACCTACAGGAGCAGCTCCCAAACTTGTGAGCTCTGAATCACATGAGAAAAGTTCCCTGTAAGGCTGTCCAAAGGAAGGGGGCAAAGCCAGACATGGCACAGAGTCACATTATTGCTCAGCATTGTGTCTCTCAGAGCAAACTTGGTATCGTATCTGCAAGCAAGTAAAAAATTCAGCTCCCAAGGGGAGGGACCTGAAAGCACTGCACAATACAGCCCAGTGCCTGAAGAAAATTCAGCCACATCTATAAGGGTGTACCCTCCCCATGGAGTGAAAGAGAGGAAAGGAGAGAAATGGAAAGAGACAGAGAGAGCAGGATCAAGCAAGCAGAGGAGCTTAAAAGCCTTCAAGAACATGTACTAGCATGTTGCACTGGGTGTTTGACTCTGCTGGAGCACCAAAATGCTGTCCCAACACCACAGCAGGACCCCACAACCATGGTGGGAATGCTCACCCCACCATCTGCCTGGCCCTCCATACCATGCTGGCTCCCATTCCACGAATCGGTCTCTGGATTGCTGATGGGCAAGTCCCCCGCTGAGTTTTTTGTCTCTTCCTGCTTTTCCTCCTTGACATGAGAACAGACAAAACAGAAACCCATCATGTTGGAGGTCTGCACAGAGGTTTAAGTTGTGTTTTGTTGCCTTGCACTGGTGCTAAGGGCCATCATGTGCCTCCACAACATCCATGATTTGGCTAATGCTTGGCCCAGAAATGGGTGGCCAAGAGGATCCAATGTTGGGAGTCCAAGGGGGATTTTGGTGCTGAGTGGCAGCAATCACCCCTGGAGTGGAAATGACACAGTCAGGCTGGCAAGCAGAGCTTCATTGCCTTGTAAGCAACTCTCCTGTCCCCAGGATACAAATCAGGACACTTAGTTCCGCACTTACTTTGGTAGCCCAGAATCAAGAAAGCAGTTGAGAGCACTCAATACCTACACTGCAATCAGGACATATCTAGCTGTGCCCAAGCCAAGGTGCTCAGCATACCAAACAGCCAGCCAAGTGTTTAGAAGCCCTTATGCTCCACCCATTCAAGTGTTCTTGGCATCAACCTCCTATCAGCGGTATGTTGAATCATAGAATAGAATCATAGAATCATCCTGGTTGGAAGGAACCTTGAAGATCATCAAATCCAACCATAACTTAAATCCACCAACCATAACCTAATTTACCCATTCAGTGCTTAAATGATGTAGCTAAGAACTACATCTATATTTCTTTTAAACACTTCCAGGGATGGTGACTCCACCATCTCCCTTGGCAGGCTGTTCCAGTGTCCAACCACTCTTTTGGTTAAAACATTTTCTAATATACAGTCTAAACCTCCCCTGGTGCAACTTGAGGCCATTTCCTCTCATCCTGTCATGATTCACTTGAAAGAAGAGCCCAACACCCACCTCCCTCCAACCTCCTTTCAGGCAGTTGTAGAGAGCAATGAGCTCTCCCCTCAGCCTCCTCTTCTTCAAACTACACAATCATAGTTCCCTCAGCCTCTCTTCATAGGACAGTTTAGGAAGGTTACCCCTTCAACATAGAGCTGACCCTGCACTGAAAAGCACCAATGAGAACTGTGCAGACCTGCAGTGCAATAAAGGAGTGGCCCATAGGCCACCCTTGACATTGGCCCACACACACATGCCCTCCTTGCCCTCCTCCTACCATTTGCTCAGATTCATATTCTTCCTCTGAAGGGCTCTGGTAGTCCCTCCTCTTCCGTATCTTCACTGGCTTGAGGATATCAGTGGCATTGGTGCTGCTGGCAGAGTTCTCCACAATGACAGACCTGCATGGAGGAAGGGGCAGCAACCCACTGCAGCACAGTACATAGCAGCAGCTGGGGTGTCGGGAATGCTGGAGAGCCTATGTCACCCTATTTCTTACTCATACGGGCTCCCACTCCTCCTGACTAATGTAAGGACTCCTCTTAAGAGAACAAATGGGCAAACGTTAGAACCAGGGTACAGATCAGAACCACCCTCACATGCTTGCGTGTCAGAAACCTGAACCCAGGGATGGATCAAAAGCAATCTAGTGTTGTAGCAGGGCTCTGAGGTGCATCAGAATTACATGGAGATGCTGGAAAATGAGTCCCAGGAGTCAAAAATTAGTAAGTAGAGGGACTGGAAATGCCCTCATGACCCACGTCTTCTCCTGCTGCTCATCAGGCCGGAAGCAACCACTACAGCAACTCCTGCTGCAGCCCTGCTCTGAAAAATAGGTGTTTATGAGCCACAAATTGGGCATGAGGAACTGTGACTCTTCTGCTGTCCCCTGAGACAAGTCTCCATGCCTCCCACTGCAGCCAGAGCACTCTGCCTACAGGAAAACAGGAAACAAGTGGAGTCCCCAGGACCTGCTGGACACAAAGGCAATTCCATCCTTTGCATGTGGAGGATGTAGACCAGGGGAGGGAGGGCAGACAGATGGATGGACATGGGTCTGCATGGAGCAGACTCCCCTTCCTTTACCTTTCTTTGAACTGCTGGTGACAGTGGTCACTACAGAAGCCCCTGCCTTCCCAGGCTCTGTCTGAAACACGTCTCCGGCCACAGGTATCACAGTGACACATATTTTCTGCTGTCGGCAGCTTGGTTTCCTCTGGCACATCTGAGTCAGAGAGAAAAGGAGCAGTGAGGCACAAGGTGTATCAAAGGGAGGAGAGCAAGAAGCAGGAGACATTTGCTTTGCTCAGGGCCTATGCCAGTCAGTGCCTACTGCATGATGGTACCTACCCCAGAAGTGCCACCATGGTGCCCTTACCCTGAGACACAGTAGGATTGTCCCTGCTGGTGGGTGCCACCTCTGAGTCCCCATCTTTCTCTGTGTGATCCTCCTTTACTGTTTCCACTGGAGGAATCTTATCAGCACTCACCACCTTCAGCGTCCCATACTCATTTATTCGAAACTATGTCATTGAACCAAAAAACAAGGAAAGAGTTAACAAAGAGGACAGTCATGTCATTTAACAGTTAGTGGGTGTATGTGAACATGTGAGTGACATGGTTTGTTTGGTCATTAGTGCACCCAACAAAAGGAGAGCCCTTCCAACCACAGAGGCAAGCACAGAACCAAAGTCACCTGTCCTGCTGCCCCTCCCTGCACACTGCCTGCACTCAGGTGACACCTGAGCACAGGATGGCAGCACAAGGGGCAGGGTGATGTGGTGCCCTGAGGCTGAGTATTGGCTGAGAAACTGGCACATTTTGTGCAAGCTATTTCATGTCTCAAGGGTACATAGAGGGATCTAGACAGGCTTGATCGATGGGCCAGGGCCAAGGCCAATGCCATGAGTTTCAAGAAGGCCAAATGTTGGGTCCTGCACTTGGGCCACAACAACCCCCAGCTTGGGGAGGAGTGGCTGGAGAGCTGCCTAGCAGAGGGACCTGCAAGTGCTGACTGGCAGCAGCTGAACAGGAGCCAGTGTGTGCCCAGGTGGCCAAGAAGGCCAACAGCATCCTGGTCTGCATCAGGAACAGTGTGACCAGCAGCACCAGGGAGGTGATCCTGCCCCTCTGCTCAGCCTTGGTGAGGCTGCACCTTGAGCACTGGGGGCAGGTTTGGGCACCACAGGATAGGAAGGACATGGAGGTGCTGGAGAGGGGGCAGAGAAGGGCAACCAGGCTGATGAGGGGTCTGGAGAACAGGTCTGATGAGGAGAGGCTGAGCTGGGGCTGTTCAGTCTGCAGAAGAGGAGGCTGAGGGGAGACCTCATTGCTGGCTATAACTACCTGAGAGGAGGTGTTGGGCTCCTCTGCCTGGTGACCAGCGATAGGACAAGAGGAAATGGGGTCAAGCTACACCAGGGGAGGTTCAGATGGATATTATGAAAAATTTCTTCCCAGAAAGAGCGTTGAGGCCTTAGAACAGGCTGACCAGGGAGGTGGTGGAGGCATCATCCCTGGAAGTGTTCAAAAAAGGGTGGACATGGTGCTGAGGGAGTTGGCTTAGTGGTTGGGGGTTGTAGGGCAGACGGTTGGACTTGATGATCTTGAAGGTCTTTTCCAACCTTGATGATGATTCTATGACTCTATTCTATGACACCACACCTAGAGGCATCTGCTGTCTGATGGGGGCAAGAACACTGTGTCCAGGGTGAGTGCAGCAGTTTGGCAAGAGCCAACTCCACAGCGCAGTTTGGAAAGAAGATGCCCTGCAGAGCTCACAGCATCCTACTGCCTCCTTGCTCAGGCAGACCTGTCACAGCCCCCGAGGAACCACAAGTGGCCTGTCCCTGCTAAGCTCACAACATGGGAGGGGCAAAGGGCTGGGACCCAGGGCTGGGACGCAAGGATGGGGCACAGGGATGGGGCACAAGAGGAGCCTTACAGGGATGGAACAGAGGATCTTCCAGCTGGAGTGTGAGTACTACCAGGGGCGACCTCAAATCCTGGAGGTCCCTGCCCAGCACATGCTGAGGGACTGCCACTCAGAAGGGCTAGCAGCTGCAGGAAGTAGGAGGGGAAGTAGGGGCAGCAAACACAGTGGCCCAGGGCTAAACTTACCCGCAGGTTACTCCCAGGCAAAGTAGCCACCCCGTCTTTCCATTCCAGCACTCGGACTGTGCTGCAGGTCTGCACCCCGCCGATCTGGGGAATGACAGCAGCTGTGATGGGCTCCGTCCCTGCTCCCCGCTCTGGCCTGTCGGCCCCTGTGCTCCTCTGTGGCTCCCGGGGCAAGCGCTGGATTTCTAAGGTGCTCGTGGGAAGGTTGATGGTAGTGGCATTTGCTTGAGAAGGGAAGAAAGGAAACAAACAACCAGAGGCATACACAGAACACTTAACTGATGCAAACAAGGCTCAAAAGCAGCACAAAATGACAGAGATGACAGTCTCCCAGGGTTCAGTGCTGTGGGCTGAAGCACCTACAAGCAGGCAGCATGACCAAACAAGATCTGCAACCAGCAATGGCTTATGCTGGGGGGTGGCACCAACTCTATCCATATTTAACAGTTCCTGCTTCAGCCTAACCTCTGACTGTTCCTGTGACCAGGATGCTCCGATGCAGCAGGAGTGTGCTGGCATCTTCCAGTTTAGTTTCATTTCATAGGAATACACTGTGCAGCCCAAGGCCACTCCATAGTGGGAACTGAGGCATCAGGAGTAGGTAAAAACTGGGAGATTTGCTTCTAAAGAACATCCTTGATCTCACCTAACACACATCTGTGGTTTGCTCACACACCTCCTGAAAGACAATGGTCAGCTGGGCTGAAAATTGTTTCCTAATTTTCAAGAAGGGTAAAAAGGATGACCCTGGAAATTACAGGCCTGTCAGTCTCACTTCAGCACTTGGTAAATTTTTTGAGAAGGTTATTCTAAGAGTTACTGAAAAACACTTGAGAGACAATGCAGTAATTAGTCAGAGCCAACACAGGTTAATGAGGGAAAAGTCCTGCTTAACTAATTTAATTTCCTTTTATTAAAAGATCACCCACTGAGATGACCAAGGGAAACCAGCAAATGTGGGGGTTCTGGCCTTTAGAAAAGCTTTTGATACTGTCTCTCACAGTATCCCAGACAAAATGTTCAGCACACAGCAAGACAAGTTCTTAGTATGTTGGGAGAACATTCAGCTAATGGTTTGGGCTCAAAGATTCAGAGTAAATGGGGTCACATCAGGCTGGTGGCCAGTCACCAGTGAGGTTCCCCAGGGCTCAATTTCAGGACCAGTGCTCCTTTGATGTTTTTATAAATAATCTGGATTCGGGACTAGAATGTACATTAAGTAAGTTTGCCTATGAAACTAAATTAGGAGGAGCTGTGGACTCCCTCGAAGGTAGACAGGCCTTACAGAGAGATCTGAATAGACTAGAGAGCTGGACAATCATCAGCTCTATGACATTTAACAAGAGCAAGTGTTGGATTCTGCACCTGGGATGGAGTAATCCTGATTATACGGACAAATGGAGAAGCTGCAGAGCAGCTCTGTGGAAAGAGAAGTGGGGTTTGGGCTGATGTCAGGGTGACCAGCAGTCAGCAGTTTGCCCTGGCAGCCAAAAGAGCTGTGTCCTGGGTGCATCAGGCCCAGCATTGCCAGCCAGCCAAGGGAGGGGACTGTCCCACTGTGCTGGGATGGCCCCACCTCCAGCACTGTGGGCAGGGCTGGACCCTCAACAGAAGGAGGACATCAGACTAATGAGTCCAGAGGAGGGTGACCAAGGTGGTGAAAGGTCTCAAGGGCAAGACTTACGAGGAGCAGCTGGGGTCACTTGGCTTGTTCAGCTTGGAGAAGAGAAGGCTGAGGGGGGACCTCATCGCAGTCTACAAGTTCCTCAAGGGGGGCAGCGGAGGGAGAGGTGCTGATCTCCTCTCTCTGGTGACCAGCGATAGGACACGAGGAGAAGGAATGAAGCTGTGTCAGGGGAAGTTCAGGTTGGACATTAGGAAAAAGTTCTTCACTGGAGGGTGGTCGGTCCCTGGAACACGCTCCCCAGGGCCCCAAGCCTGTCAGAGTTCAAGGAGTGTCTGGACTATGCTCTTGGTCGTATGGCTTAGTTTTAGGTTGTCCTGCGAGGAGCAGGGAGTTGGGCTCAATGATCCTTACAGGTTCCCTCCAAATTGAGATATCCTGTGACACTATGATAATGCACAGCCCAGGAGCCCAAATGCCCTGCAGAGCAGGCACTCAGGACACCCTGCTGCACTGGCACAGGGCCCCAGACATCAGGGCTTTGGTTTAAGACTCAAGAGGTTTTGATCAGCCACAAATCGTCCAAGTGAGGTGAGATAGCCACAAATAACCTCTAAGCAGCACAGCTTAGCATCCCAAAGTTTGGGAGAAGCACAAACATACAAGAGGTGTGAAGCATCAATACTGGGGGAGAAGGCTGAGGTGGCACCAGTTAGAGGACAGTTCTGCATACCTGGTATGATGAAGGCAGTCGCTGGCAGATGGTTGCTCTGCACAGGGCTCTCAGTGGTTACCATGTGGACACTGACCTCCCCAGGGGCATTCCCCTTTGTGCTTCTCACAACCTCCATCTCTGCTCTGGTGTCCATCACCTCACCTGAGCACAGAGCTAGACATTGAAAGACAGCAAGAGAGAAATCACCTTGGGTACAAGTACAAACACAGCAAAGGAGGAAGAAAGAGACTGTAGAGGATCGTCCCTCCCCTTCCACCATCTCCCAGCAGAAATTCCTGTAAGATTTATTAAAGGCCCATTGAACCCAACAGAGAACAGCATGAAGGTCACAGCTGGTACCAACACGACCCAGTAAAGCCTCTGTTGTGAGATCGTAGCTCAGAGCCTGCAAACACTGAGGATTTTTTCTTGTTTGGCACCACCATAAGATGGTAAAAGCACAGCAGGTCCACCACAAGCTATGGCTGCTACTAGCTCCCACTGGTGCCTACACCACTCTGATGCAGACTGTGACTAAAGGTCAGCAAATCCTACCATGGAGAAGTCAGAGGTTCCTGAAGTTCTCGTTCCAGTTGTCCTGTTGGGCAGTCACCCTTGATCTTCCAACTGGCTGTAAGACAGAATTTGACAGTGATAGAAGTTTACCTGGGTGGGGATCAAAGGAGGAACATCAAGTCCACTGCATTCAGTTGAGCTTCTCACAGGATTGGTGATGTTTGACCCATCTAACCATGCATTTCAAGGAGTAGGCAAGGTATCAGGGCCTTGGGGCCACTATTGGGCCTTATTGGCCCTTACCAGCCTCCCCTGGAACCCACACCCATCAGCCCTGGGGCTCCATGTTGGTCTACACTCAGTCTGCAGCAGCACTGGTCTCCAGCTGCTCTCTGGCAGCAGCAGAACCTGATCTGCCAGCTCGGATCTTGGCTTCATCTCAGACCTTGCCTGGTGACCTAAGCTCCCAGCTGAACTTGGCTCACTGGCCCTGTTAGCTGCTTTCCCTGGCTCCCTGTCCCTGGGGCAGCAGCTGGCCTCTGCTGTGCCCCAGCAGGTGGGACAGAGCCTACACCAGGATGGCCCTAGGCCAGGAACTGCCTGTAAGCTGGAGGACAGAGCAGCATTGCCTCTCGGTACTCAAGGTGCCTTAGTGAGGGAGGACTCTTGGTGCTGCTTCTGCTCCAGTGAAAAACACAATGGACACAAAGAAATTAGCAGAAAACCAGCAGTATCATGGCATGTGCTTTGGGAAGGTGGATCTCACAGAATCACAGAATGTTGAGTGTTGGAAGGAACCTCTGAAGATCATTGAGTCCAACCCCCTGCCAGAGCAGGACCTAAAAAACTAGGGCAGATCACTTAAAAAGGCATCCAGACAGGTCTTGAAAGTCTCCAGAGAAGGAGACTCCACAACCTCTCTGGACAGCCTGTCCCAGGGCTCTGTCACCCTCACAGGAAAGAAGTTCTTCCTCATGTTGAGGTGGAACTTCCAGTGCTCCAGGTTGAATCCATTGCCCCATGTCCTGTCACAGGGCACAAGAGAAAACAGGCTGTCCCTGCCTTCCTGATGAGTTTGAGGACACTGCTTTGGAGAAGTGTCCCACTGTTCTGAACCTGTCCTATTTCCTACACCCTCTTCAAAGCACTTGCTGCTGGGAAGGAGCCAGGGCTACTACAGGGACTATGCTGATGGTTGCTTCTGATGCAGCCTGAATTTGAAAAAGAAGGCAGCCACATGGAAAACTGGATGCCCATTTTGGTGAACCATGATTAAATAAAGATTTGGCTACAAAGGCCAAAGCCTAAAATTTTAAAACCTGAGACAAGAAGAAAGAGATATTACAACATTTAAGTAAGAATGTAAAGAGTGGAATGTTGTGCTTATGTTAGGGGAAGATCTACTTTTTCCTCTGGTTTACCATGCTGTTAAGTATGTGATCAGAAATGAACTAATGTTCAACTGACAGATGGTACCAACCTTTAGGGTCCTCCTGGTGCAACGTGAGAAAAGCAGCATTAAGTATCAGGAGAACTGAAGCAACTGGACACGGAACTTCAGCTGAAAGCCAAAATGAATTTGGCAGCCAACCTGTCTTAATACCTACTAGGAACTTCCCAGCTTCCTTAGGCACTTAAATCTGATATTTACCCTTGATTCATTACTTGGGTTGAATGTTTCAAGGATAACTAGTAAATTTGTGTGAGCTGTTGGCTTTTTTTTTTTTAAACAGAACTTGGGACTGGAAAAGCCTAGAAAGGAAGAGAAATAACTAGCCCAAGCTGGGGGATGCTCAAACTCAGCTCTGTGCAGCAGCCTATGATATGAACACAATAGCAAACAATTGCACAGGAAATAACCAGCAGTAACTATCACATGTCAAACGCTCTCCAGATCCTTGTGGTGCTGCCAGTGCTGTCTAGACTGGTTCTCTTGTGCCTCTGTTCAGGGTGAGCAGAATGAATTTGGATTAGAGATTGCAGCCCTGCTCCTTAAACTAGAAGAAGTAAATACCTGAAACTTAGAACTTCCCCTCCAGACAATCCCTCCTCCAACAACCTCCTGGGAAAGGCCCCACTTTAGCAATGGGCATGTCCCCCTACCACAGCTGGACAGCTCATCCGAGTGGGTCAGGAGCCCTCCAAGGAGCTGAAGGGAGGGAGAGGAGTCCACTCAGCCCACAGCCCTGCCCTACCACAAACTGTCACCTCCTGCTCCTCTTATCAGCCCCTCAGCAGCATCCCTCAGGCATCAGTGCTGGGTCCAGTCCTGTTCAACATCTTTATCAATGACCTTGATGATGGGACAGAGTGTCTTCTCGGCAACTTTGCTGATGACACGAAGCTCGAAGGATTGGCTGATTCACCTGAAGGCTGTGCAGCCATTCAGCAAGATTTGGACAGACTGGAGAGCTGGGCAAAGAGGAACCTCATGAGGTTCAACAAGAGCTAATGCAGAGTTCTCCTGCACCCAGGAAGGAACGACAAAAGGAACTCCAGTACAGGCCAGGATGTTATCTGCTAGAGAGCAGCTCCATGGAGAAGGACCTTGGAGTCCTGGTAGACAACAAGTTATCCATGGGACAACAACGTGCCCTGGTGGCCAAGAAGGCCAATGGTATCCTGGGGTACATTAGGAGAAGTGTCTCCAGCAGGTCAAGGGAGGTTCTCCTGCCCCTCTACTTGGCCCTGGTGAGACCTCAGAGTGTTGTGTCCAGTTTTGGGCTCCCCAGTTCAAGAGGGACAGGGATCTACTGGAGAGAGTCCAACGGGGGCCACGAGGATGATGAAGGGACTGAACACCTGCCTGATGAGGAAAGGCTGAGAGACCTGGGGCTTTTCAGTCTAGAGAGGAAAAGACTAAGGGGGGATCTAATGAATGCCTATCAATACATGAGAGCTGGGGTCAAGAAGGCAGGGACAAGCTCTTGTCACTTGTGCCCTGTGACAGGACATGGGGCAATGGATTCAAACTGGAGCACTGGAAGTTCCACCTCAACATGAGGAAGAACTTCTTTCCTGTGAGGCTGACAGAGCCCTGGGACAGGCTGTCCAGAGAGGTTGTGGAGTCTCCTTCTCTGGAGACTTTCAAGACCTGTCTGGATGCCTTTCTGAGTGATCTGCCCTAGTTTTTTAGGTCCTGCCTGGCAGGGGGTTGGACTCAATGATCTTCAGAGGTCCCTTCCAACACCCAACATTCTGTGATTCTGTGATTCAGCAGTGGTGTCCGTGCTTCCCCTGCCACCTCTGGCCATAGCAACCTGTGGTTGGAAGAAACCCTTCCTTAACACCTTGCCCCAACTCCTGCCCTTTGAGCACATGTGGAGCACAAATTCTGCAAACAAGTCCCCAAGCATGTGTCCTGTTCCACCCCACAGGGAAGAAAAACCTTGAGGTCTTGATCACCACAAGATCTTACACTTACAGCGGTCTCAAGCCACATTTCTCTCCCTTTAAGATTCATGGGGGGAGACAGGTCCAAAGCTATTTGAAGGTGACTTATGAGCAGCAAGAACATTGTTGGTGTGAATTCGCAAGCACGTTGTTGCCACAGCTGAAACCCAGCAAACCCACCCTAAGAGGTGGGCTCTCCCAGCTCTTGTCAAGGGCTTCCATGGTGTTAGAACAATTTTCCACCAACACAGCACACATTAACCATAACACATTGTTAAACTTTTAATTCAGAATTTCTGACATAATCCCTACACACAGTTCCAAACCTTGGAGCACAGCTCCATCACTGCCCCACCATGGTCTGAGCCTTCCTGGTGGGACAGGTCTGGGCATGACACAACACCTGGGCTGCAGAGCTCCATCCTCAACCCAGAGGAGTGAGAATCAGGATTGGAGACATTGTTTGCAACCAACAGTTTTCAAAACCCTGGTAGAAAAATCCCTGGACACCCAACCTGCTGTGAAATACCTGAGGTCAGGAGCAGCATATGAGGAAATGAGGAGAAAACAACCATCACTTGTAATGGAGCACAGCCTTGGTTATGATCTCACCTAGCATCACTGTCACAGCAGGACAAAGGCAGTGGCACACATCCCATTGGACAACACTGCTGCCTGAGAGCAGGACCTCTGGCAGATAGCAGGGAGAGGATGCCCATGGCTGAGACAAGTCTGATTGCTTCAGTGCATAGAGCAAGAGCCCATGCAGGTACCACCACCCTGGAGATCACTTCAAGAGGTCTCCTGAAAGCCCTGGTATGACTTACTAAAGATCACAGGATCGTTCAGGCTGGAAGGAACATAAGGAGGTCTCTAGTCCAACCCCCTGCTCACAGAAGCATCAGCTATGGGATCAGACCCAGTTGCTCAAGGCTCTATCCAGTCTGGTCTTGAAAACCTCCCAGGAAGTTTACCATACTTCCTCCAAATTAGCACAACAATTAGCAACACAAACACATTCCCTATCTGGTCACTGCTTCAGATGATGAAAAAAAGCTTATTTATCTTCTGAATATTTGATTTTGTTTGATCTTAAAAAGCTTTTGGCTTACACATGACTCAGTGATGCCTGGTGTAACTCTGCCTATCCCAACAGGACCAGAATTAGGCCAACACTTAGCAGCTTTCAAAAAGCCCACTATACAGATTTTAAAACAGCAAGCAATTGCAGAGGTGAAAGCTATT